GCAGCAGCAGGCTATTCACTGCAGCAAGCAGCAAAGGCATTTCCTCTGCCTGCAGCAACTGAACTTCTGCTGCAGCTAGCAGCAGCAGCCTGTGCAGCTCAGCAGAAGAAATCCAGCAATGCTGCTGTTCATGGTGCTGCTGCTGCTGCTGCAGCTGCTGCTGCTGCTGTCTCTTGTGGTGTTGCTGCTTCTGCTGCTGCCGCTGCTGCTGCTGCTGCTGCTGCTGCTGCAGCCGAGCAATGGCGAAGAGGCACTTTGACAGGGCGAGGAATCTGTCCCTCCGGGTTACTGTCTGCAGCATCTGCTGCTGCTGCTGCTGCTGCTGCAGAGTTTGCTGCTGCTGCTGCTGCTGCCCTTGCTGCTGCTGCTCTTGCTGCTGCTGTTCCTGCTGCTCCGGTGTATCGACAGCCAGGCAGTTGCATACATACCTGATCAGACCCTGCGGCGACAGCACCCAGCAGCAGCAGCAGCAGCAGCAGCAGCAGCAGCAGCATATGAAGCAGAGTGTGTAGCTGCATTGTTACTGCAGCAACACATGCAGCAGCAGCAGCAGCAGCTGCTGCTGCTTACCTCTGTCAATGAGCTGTACATACACCCCAGCCGCATCCGAGCAGCACAGCGGCCGACGGTCACTGCATGCTGCGGCAGCAGCACTTCTCCGCCCGTGGCAGCAGCACCTGCTGCTGCTGCTTCTCCTGCTGCTGCTGCTGCTGCTGCTGCTGCTGCTTGGTTAAGCCGCTCCGTTGTGTCCCCCACAAGCTGCTGCATCAGCTGCTGCTGCCGCTGCAGCAAGGGCATCTCATCTGCGGCTCGCCACAAAGAAACTGCAGCAACAGCAGCAGCAGCAGAAGCAGCAGCAGCAGCAGCAGCAGCATCAGCAGCACATATCACCCCCTCGTACCATGCAAGAGCGCTGCCACCAAATGCAGGCGAACGCCCGAGGGTTTAGGGTTTAGGGTTTAGGGTTTATTGAGTGGACGCTGACCTGGCTGCCGTGACCCCTAAACCCTAAACCCTAAACCCTCAATACTAAACGCTAGACCCAAACCCCTAAACCCTCAACCCTAAAACCGAACCCCTATACCCTAAACCCTAAACTCTAGCCCTGAAAACCCTTAAACCCTAAACCCTAAACCCCAGGGGAAGGAGCAGTTCTAGGGGTTTAGGGTTTAGGGTTTAGGGTTTAGGGTTTATCTCTACTCAGACCCACCCAAACTCTCAGCTGGCAGTCTCCATCTGTTACTCCCCTCGCCCTCGCTGCTGCTGCCGTTGCTGCTGCTGCTGCTGCTGCTGCTGCTGCTGCTGCTGCCTATAAGGGGAGAGAGCAGCGCATGCAGCAGCGGCTGCTGCGGCACCAGCCGCAGCCGGCTGAGGCTGCGGAGGGCCCCTGCAGCACCGCGAGGAGTTAGTGAAGCCCCCTGCTGCTCCAGCGCATGCAGCAAGTCCTGCAGCAGCAGCAGCAGCAGCAGCAGCAACAACAGCAGCAGAGAGAGCAGCAGGGATAGTAGGTGAAGACGAGGGTGTGGGCCAAGCAGCAATCTCAACAGCCTTTCCCGCTGCTGCTGCGGCTTTGCAAGCGCAGCAGCAGCAGCAGCAGCAGCAGAAGCAGCAGCAGCAGAAGCAGCAGCAGCAGCACGTGGGGTCTTACCTTGACTATTGGGAAGCGAGCTATTTGGCCGTGGGGCCGCTGAGCGTCTGGCCTGCTGCTGCTGCTGCTGCTGCTGCTGCTGCTGTCCGCTCTCACAGCAGCAAGCTGCTGCAGAGCGCGCAGCAGCACGAGAGGCTGCTGCTGCTGCAGCGGCTTCTCAGCAGCAAGACGATGCAGCAGCTGCAGCAGCGCATGCAAAGACCTGCAGCGGGATATGCTTCCAATCTCCTCTTTGCCTTGCTGCTGCTGCTGCTGTTGCTGCTGCTGCTGCTGCTGCTGCTGCTGGTGGTGGCGCCTGGGGTAGGATGACCTCAAAGGGCCTCGCTGCCATCGCTGCTGCTGCTGCAGCTGCTGCTGCTGCTGCTGCTGCTCCTGCTGCTGCTGCAGCTCAGCTTCGTATGAACTCCATATGCGGGCGGGAGAGGCCTCAGAGCGGACAGAGACAAAGCCGTCATCGTCACCCCACTCAACCTGCTGCTGCTGCTGCTGCTGCTGCTGCTGCTGCTGCNGCTGCTGCTGCTGAATGTGACGCAGCTGTGTGCCTCTGTGCCTGCAGGCAAGCCAGCAGAT